CTACTAGGAACACATCGCTTCTAGTAACAAGTGCCCCACTAGTAGTAACAAGAAGCTACTAGGAGCAAGAAGCTACTAGGAATTGTTTCTTTGATTATCTTTAATTCAGATCATGGACGGTCCCGCTCCAGCTTTGGGAGCGCATCAGAGACCGCAGGATTTGGGGGTTCGAGCAAAAGACTGCAACGCAGTTTGGTTTGATTTTGGCAAGGCTGTTTTGCAAGATACCCGACCTTTTCAAGCACGGTATGGTTTCAAAAAATCAACCAGAGTGCGTTGTACAATATGGGCACCTTTTGGTTGGAGGCCATCTCTTGTAGGTTGGAGGCCATCGCAAGTAGGTTTTAGAGGTCATCGCAAGTAGGTTGGAGGCCATCGCTATTCAGGGCGTTAGTGCCAAAGTTGCCTCGCGCAGGTCCTTGTTTTTCCCAAATGCGTCTGAAGGGTTCTTGTTAAAGTTTTACGAAAGCCAGCCGGTCGGCTAGACTTAAGATGACTTAAATTAATTTCTGCCAACGAAGTGCGTATTTCGAGAATGTGAATCGCATTTTTACTTCTGGTGTATGCAATGTTTGGTGAGTTGGTGATGGAGAAAATGCAAGTTGTGATCGAAGCGGAATCATTTGCATCAGGAAGGTGGCTAGAAGGAGTCATCACACGTTCAATCAAAAAACAAAGATATCTCAGAAGAAAATCAAACGTAATGCCATGACGTACCCATTCAAGTCTTTTTTATCCATAGCCTCAGAAATTGTAAGAGTACAAAAACGATCTTAGCGCAGAGTGTTCTTAATAATATAAATAGAATTTCACTTAAAATAGGTAATAAGTAAAAGAAGTATGATCACGAAAGCCAGGTGGGCCACTTGGTAGTGAAAAATTAGTGATTTGAGGGGTGTTGTGATGCCGGTGATGTGATTGACGTCGCAGAATGCATCATCAGCATCACGAGGGGCTCAGGAGGCCATGGAAAGAGAACAGATTGTAGTTGCGGCTAAGCTTAGCGTTGCTGTCGGACTGAAGAGGGCACTCCCTATGTGGTGGGAGTTCACGTGAGTTGGGGGGTTGTTGAGGGCAGGAGAGAGAAGAGAGTGCATGATCTGTTGAGGGCCTGCGAGAGAACCGAACTGAAGAGGGCACGGAGAGAAGGATTGCAGTTGGCAATGGAAGGTCAGCGAGGAAGCGCTGGAGGCAGACGATTTGGAGTTGTTGGGTTGCGTGGTGAAAGGCAGGAGAGAGAAGAGATTGCAGCGGGGCAAGCGTTGGAGGCGGAAGGCTTTGAATTGCTTAGGGGTGCCCTTTTTTCTCGGCGGCAAGGTCTAGTTACTGGACTCAAAAGGGCGCCCCGCATGGGGTGCATGATGCCATCTGTTGAGGGCAGACACTAAAGAGGGCACAGCCTATGCGGTGGGAGTTCACGTGGATTGTTGGGGGCAGAAGGGGTACCCTTTTCTATCCGTAGCATATCTCCTCACCTACCCTGCCCTACCCATGCCTCGCACATGAACCCCCACCGCCGTCTCTGCTCACTAATTCGCAACACGCCGCCGGCAAGCGCGCCTCACTTCCTGAGGGGTGCCCTTTTTCCCGCCCCCAGACCTATGTCTTCTACTTTCCATTTCTCCTATCAGTGTGGCTGCGATGTCAACTTCGCCCCATGAAATTAATCTTTGCCCGATGTTACCCCATCACTTCCTCTTGCACGCCAAGTCTTTGCCCGGGCCTACCCAGAGCGCCCCCTAAGCCAGAGGCTGGCTTTCGTCCCCTCCCTTCTCAGGTTGGTTTAATATTTTTGCTTTATTTAACAATGAACCGCGTAGACATTATTGTAGAGGGTGTTTTTGTTTAAGAATCATAACAGAGCAAGCAGGTAGACACTGTTCTAGGGGTAGATTTATTGAAAAATGTAAAAGCGTAGACGTTATTCAAGGATGCGTTTAATTAAAGACCTAAAGAACATACATTTTTGCAGGTTGTGATATTAATCTAGAATAAAAATGATATGAATAAAGAATATTTAAGAACATATATTATATATATATATATACACGCTTAGAATAGTAATAAAAATCAGTAACAAGAATGATAATAATACGTATTTAAGAACACGGATGCAGACATGAATCCGGGGGGATTTCTAAGCAGTCGACATTACATTTGTCCCCATCCCTTGCAGAGACGCCAGAAAGTTGGCTTCGGGACTAAAACGAAGTTTTGGGAATTGTCCCATGGTTTCAATTCTTGGTTCGGCCTATCACATTTTCATGGAACTCACATACTACCTGGTAGAACCAGGGCCTGCATGGTGTTTTCTACTGCCTTTCGTTCCTTTCTTCTGAGGTGGGGTTTGGGGGTGGAGTCTTGTTCGCGACGTTGCTTTCATGTTCGCAACCGCCCACCACGTGGAGCATGAGCCCTCCCGCTTGGGAAGACTTTTGGATGGAATCGTGTATGCAGAAACGCAACGTGCCCAAGTGTCGATGACTTTGCGCCGCCCTCGGCGTTCTGGTGGCCTTTGGGAAGAACGATTTGTGTCGAAATCGCGGTTCACATTTCAATCGTGTCAAGGCGAGGCCTTTCACGTTTGTGCGTGGGAAATCTGTGAGCTTGGGGCACTTGGTGCAGGTCGTTGCATTGGCGGGTCAGTGGGAGTTTGGGTAGGCTTTGGGCTTGCTTCACCTTAGGTCCCGGACGACATGTTTGCTGCGATTTTCGGAGGAAATCTATATTTTTCCCATTAAATTCTACTAGCAATGGCTTCCAACCTAGTACCGATGGCCTCCAACCTAGAAGAGATGGCCTCCAACCTAGTAGCGATTTGGGTTTTTTCGGAGGAAGTCTCGATTTTCAAAGGAAATGTTTCGGGCCTTCCGTGGTGAGTTCAGAGATTGCTGTTGATAGCAGACTGCTTAGCCATTGAGACAGACAATCACAACGGCAGGTTTGCATGGCATTTCTCGAAAGAGGATGCTAAGGGGCGCCCAGAGAGTCCCAGGGGTATCCTTTGCACGTGCTTTGTTTGAAAACCTAAACTTTGCACCGGCCACGCTCACCACGCCCAACCATGTCCAACCAGCACTCACACTATATAATACCATCGCTAGTGTGCACACTTTGAAGAGTTTGAGTTCAGCCTTTCAAAACAATCACCCTGATGTTATCACGTTCCATCATCACACATGTAGACAAGTACGTGCAATACGTAGAAGAAACGCACGTACTCGCCACTTCATCGACAACGTCCTGCCATGCAACAGCTGTGGGAACTGAAAGGCATCCAGAGTGGAACAACAGAAACTGTTTTGTAAAGCAATCCCTGGGAATCGATTATTTGTTTCCGAAAAATTGGCCAATGGATTGATCGTCAGTGATATCCACACTTTTCCACGTGTATTATTGTTCATATTGTTTGATCAAAGCATGTCCACATTCTTGCTAAGCTTGAGAGGGTAGGGGCCATGGCAAAGTTTAGGATGACCACGCCGGAACCATCGCTGGAACCACGCACCGCCATGACCCAATCTCATCAAATTCAAGGCCAGATCATTTCCCTTGGTCGTTTATCAAATTGGCATCGGTCAGGCCAGCATTCCCCTTCCCTGAAAGGATTTCCAAGTCAGCTTGAGCGTCACACAGGCGGCTGGCACAGAAACAGTTTTCATTAAGGTCCAACACATGTCGAGAACTTTGGATTACTGACCACGGGCCATCTCTAATTGTATCCCTCGCAAGCAGGAAAATATTTGTTTCACTGAACGAAGTATTTCATCGATCGATCTATTAACTATTTATCCTTCAGGATCGATGTGTGAACCATCTTGTGCCTCACTACCCTACATGCTCAGCCCCTGCACATGGCAAAGTTCGGCCCTGGCTCAGCAAATTTTACCCTTTTCGTAGGGGTATCCTTTGCGCATACTTAGACTTACTGGTAAGAGCGAAAAATGTTGTTTTTGTTTCGAACGTATGTTTTTTGACATCTAATCTCATTTGTTACTGAGCTGCGTAAAAGGACATCCGAAAGGCAATCAACCACACGCTGAGCCACAAGCCACAAACACAAGATCGATGCACTGCTGACACCCTGACGCACTGTGGTGGTCCGGCCAATTGCAGACGAGTAATCCTTTTACGTCAACAACTAGTTCGATGTTCCGACAGACCACTAAAAACGAGGCTTAAGTTTTGAAAACGATCAAAAGTTAAAAACTGCTACGGTTGGATGTTTATGTGCTTGGTGTTTTGTTGCATTTTTGCACGATACGAAGGCGAACACCACCCGTGTAAGTTTTGCCCTATTTCAGACAGAAACAGCCACGCACAAGTAAAATTACCTCATGTTTAGGCCAATTTGCACAAGTGAATTGACAAGTTTACTGTCAATTTCATATGTGCATTGCAAAGAATCCTTGATGGACACCAGGCCCGGCCGTCCATCTGAGGTACCATAAAGAGGCTTCAAATGTACAACAAGAAACCTGACCGGCAGCGAATGAAAGAGCAATCTCTCAAGCCTGTGAGAATCCAACCCGATCGCCGCTGGTTTGGCAACACGCGAGTCATTGCCCAAGAGAAGATGCAAGCATTCCGAGTTCTTTGGACGCACAAAGAGAGACACAAGGCACTCCTTGTCACCATTTTGAATTAAAGTTGTTACTTTGGACGTTTGTTTTTAGGATGTTTGGGTCTTTCTTTTGAGCAGAACATAAGACAACCAAGGAAACCATTGCCAAAGGCGTGGAGGATCCATTCTCAGTGGTGCTCAAGAGCTCTAAGTTGCCCATGTCACTTTTGCGTGGCAAAGCTGCAAGAAAAGCAGATGGTAAAGCTGCAAAGTTAAAGTAGATTATTAGATCAGATTTTTCAAAACATGTTTTGATTTAACACATCGTTGGCACATGTTTCGTGTTTTTCTTTGGTTCAGAGTACAAAGAAAATTTCTGTGTGTTATACAACGAAGCATTAATTTTGATTCGTTTGCCGTTTTTGTTGGTTGGAGGCCAGCGTTATTAGTTAAGTTTCCCGAAAAATCTAGGAACCAAATGAATAGTGCGAGTGCTTTGAAGCGCGAGCTATCCTGCGTCCAAGGTAGTAGCTACTTGTAGGTACTAGCTACGGCCTATAAAACTACTACTAGCTACCTCTAGTTTCTAGCTATTCCTCAGTGTAGCTACTATCGCGGCCTACCCCGCTAGTAGGTTGAAGGCCGTTTTGACTGAGTCGGCTGGAAGTCGAGAGAACGCACTTCGAGTCGAGAAGTCGATGACCTGTCGCATTTGTCGAAGTCGAAGTGGTTGGCGAGAACCACTTCGCACTTAGTGCAGGACTTCGGAGCGGAGGACGGACTTCGAAGTCGAAAGCCGTTTGGAGAAGGGACACGAAGTGACCCTCAATGGCCCCAAGCAAGACTTGACTAGACTTCAGTTTCGTCAGATCCGCGCTGTGCCCAGGTGACACTGAGTCCAAAGCATCACGGATGGACTTGCTATCCGTGTCTCCATATCAGGAGGTTCCTTCAACGTTTTTGATTTTTGACCTTTTTGGATAGGTTGGAAGGTTGAAGAACACATTTGGAGACCATTGCTATTACAAACAAAGATTGTATGGTTCGTTTGTTTGAAATTGTTTCGTCGTTAAAGCACTTAATCCTTCAACCGCTTTCTATATTTCAGGTCTTCAGCAAGAAGCGCCAGCAGAAGAGGGCAAAAATTGCTGCAAGCGATCTCGAAGGTTTTCTCGAGGCAGGGCCAACATTGGAAATGAAAGATAACAGTTGAAGTGAAGTTTAGACCACTTTGTGGACACTTGTTCAAACACTCTGTGCATTCTTTGTTCAGCCCACTCCCCTGGTCGATCGTCCAACTTCACGTTCACCGTCTCAACGTGAGCTTGAGGCGAGAAGCCTTTCCTACCGTGATACGTTCTTTCTTACCCTTTCGCTTCTCTTTCCGTTCACCTCTTCGAGGAACATTTCACGGTCATCCAGTTCACGTCGTTCACGAGGCGTTGTAGGAGACAAAGTTGACCAGTTCTCGACGGTGACAAGCCTATCTTCTCTCGGCCAGAGTGTTGGTGCGGCTCCGCCCTCACAGGTTGACCGACAACTCGCTTCATTCGCTTCGTTTGACCTCTGGTCATTTAGAGCAAGGAACAAGAATGCTACTAGGAACAAAGTCATTTGGTTAGAATGGTGAGACCCAGTCTGAGTTCTCGTGGCATTGATGAACTTAGTCTAAGTATGAGTCATGTTGCCTCAGGAGCGGAGTCAGTTTGGGACTTCGATTACCCAATAGCAATGGCCTCCAACCCAATATTAACGGCAATCATGTTCCAGTGTTGGTCAGTTCATGTTGCTTGAGCATCGGACCATGTTCCATGATGTGCTCAAAAGACTTGTTTCTAATTCTACCGTAGTATCGATGGCCTTCAATCTAATAGCGATGGCCTCCAACCTAAGAACGATGGCCTCCACCCTACAAGCATTGCTCGATGCTTTTTGTCCCAAATCTGTCTCATTGTTGCGCAACTTTGTTCTTTGTTTTGACCTTCTCTCTTGTGTGTGTACATAGGTGTACTGTCACGAAAGCCAGCCGATAGGCTAGGCTGGAGTTGGGATGGGCGAACGAAGGCGGGTATTGTAGGGGTGTGGGGGGAGTTGGTCGCACAGAATGCAATTTCGGAGGGCGAGCCCAGAGACTGGTGCAGGAAAGCGAAAATAACGGCGGGAAGAATGGGATTGAACATGTATGGTTTTTGGGTTGTGATGCAGGTGATGTAGTTGACGGCGAAGAGTGCATCGATCATTAGCATCATGAAGGGGTTAGGAGGCAATGTAAACAGTCTACCAGGGGTGGGAAAGGGGGACAACTGGCCCGAAAAGTGGTTGGACCGCCTCCAGGAAAGGGAGATGTGCGTCTCTTGTGTTCGACCAGGGGTGAAAGGGAGGTGTGTGTGTGTGTGTGTGTCCACCCCTGGACAAAGGGTTTCTTCCAACCGACTCACCTACCACTTGTTTCACCACCGATTCCCAAGCAGGGGGCAGAGAGGACTTGCAAAGCTCTGCCCAACGAAGCTCTTTGCAAGATCCTAGGAAGCGGAAGCTGATCACTTCCGTGTACCTGCTCGTTCTCTCGCAAGCTGTTACCCTACTCTTCCACGTTTTGGTTCATGGTTCTTCATGATACGTCCCTCAAACCTTTTCTACCACCTTTTGCACTGCAGCTGAGCCGCGTCGAAGTTCGCCACCGCAGACATGACAACAGATTGTTAAAACCATACAAGTGCGCTGACCCTCTCACCTTGCGGTTCTTCGCCATCCTTCCCATCGTGGTAACTGAGTTAACTGAATACCATTGTCGAAGTGTGTTTCGCTCAGCCGTCCCACTCGGGTGCTGAGTGTGATCCCCGTCATTGGGGCGCCGTTTTTGCATAGGAAATCATCCACCCCAACATGCCACCTTTCACCGGATTTCCACTGGAAGTCATTGACACACCCATCGAATCAACTGATGCATTGGCCGCCGGGCCCAAACACGGCAGCTTCCTCTCTCACTGACTTTCTGACCAGTCTTGCAAGGGTTTTTGCATGATCTTACATGTAGTGACTTTTTGACCTGTGCCGTGACCTTTCCGTCAGAAGAACTCAAGCCTGCATACTGGAGTTCTCAAATCTAATTCGAGATGCATGACCACACCTTACAACAATTTTACCTGCCACATCAAGCTCACCTTCACAGCATACTTCCTTTCAACAAGAGCAATGCGACTTTCAACATCACCATGACAAAAACATTTTTTGCAATCTCAGCCGCACTATTGCTGCTGCGCTGCGCCGTGCCATTGAGAAGCCTCTACTACACAGCGCTGAAGTTTCACAACCAACACCTTCGACGACTACACCATGCATTTTCCCTGGCCATATTCCCATGCTACTCCACCACCACTACCCATTACGCAACCACAGCCGACATTGCCGCTGCCGCAGCCACATACCGCACCCACTTTTCCGTCACCACATCCCTCGGCGTATCCTTTTCCACAACCACAACCCTATCAGGCTCCGCCTACCATGCCTATTCCAACTCCTACCACGCTGTCCTATGGCACTCCCTCGGCCTGGACAATTGTGCAACCATCTCAGCCGTCACCACAACCCACACACCCACCCCCAGCTTTTCCATCACCAGCACCTCCCCCTTCTTACCTGGTACAACAATTGCATCACACACCACCTACCGACCCTACCAACACCACACCGATCCAGTCACCTCCAGCACCACAACAGGCAACAATCGCTCATCATCCTCCCACAGACCCACAGTGGCCTATGCCCCAGGGGGTTTGGCAACCCTACTCAGCTTTTCCCCCAGTCACACAACCTTCACCTCAACCTTTGCCTCCACCGCCGCCTCCATTGCCCATCGGCGACTCACCACCAGCTCAACCACCACTTCCGCAACCGGCGCCATCGGACCCCACAGCACCAGCCCCCAACGTCACCATTTCAGCCACTGGCTCCCAACCATCTCCATCACCATCCATTGCATCAGCCCCACCAGCTACTGCACCTCCACAACCTACAACAGACAGGCCAGACAGCACCGCTTCACCAGCACCGCCACCACCGTCCCCACACCCACCTCACAGCAGTCGCCGCCACCACCACAAAAGCCGGCGCAAGTCTGATCATCACCGCAGTGGCCGCCACCGCCGTCACCGCCGGCATCGGCATCACCGCCATTCCAAACACCACAGCACCACCCGGCGACGCCGCTCGCCTTCAACCTCCACCTACTCTTACAGCCCCACACCATCCCGCAGCCGCTCCCCACAACCCATCGACCTGCGACCCAACACCGACAACACTAACACCGACCCTTCTCAATATCCCACCACAGCAGTCATCCGTCGCCCACTCAACCGCTGGCGACCTCCACCCAATTTTCAAGCTCTCTCACCAACAGACCAACTCCTTGACTGGTTCGAATTTCACGCCAACCAACTCGACTCCCCCAACCGACCACAGCACCAATACATTGCCAATCTCCTTTCCGACTGCCACATCACTTACAAGGACATCACCGACTTTCGACAATACACCCATGCGAAGTGGAATGAAACCACTCGCCAATATGACCAATTCCAGTACAACGCCATCTCACTCCCTTACCTCAACACCAAAGCCACCACACCAGAGCCACCAGCGGTTTCCCGTGCCACTTCCACCCACCGGGAGGTCGCGCACATCAACGCCGGCCATACAGGCCCAGTCGGCAACATTGCCAACATTTTACGCCAAGGTCGTTTCCTACCCAGCACACTCCACTTTGCCAACTACCCTGGCTTTTTCGCTCAGGGTATCCGCATCACCCACAATCCAACCCACGACCAAAGCGAGTTCGCTCGCATTATTCACAACACTTGGCAGCTCCACAAAAACACCCACTCACTCATCATTACGCTCCTCGCCTGGGGCGCCGCCACCAAATACACTTCCGGTGGCGAAGAACAGGCCATGACCCTCCTCAACGAGCACCACGGCGCCGTCTTCCACCAGAAGGGCAGATGCTGGGTCATTCACCCGGACCATGCCATAGTCAAAGGACTGGCATGGTCCACCAACTCCACTCCACCTGACCTATGACACCACTTTCCATCACCTCCCAACAACTACCACCTCCACCTCCACTCTTTGTCTCACCCCACCACACACACACACACCTTCGCCCACAGCAGCAAAAAGGCCATTGCTGCGTTCACGCGGTCCTTTCGAGTTTTCAAGTTTTCAAGAATTGGCGGTTTTGATTTGCAGAATTCTGCTGTGAACCTTCTACCAGGCTCTTCCGATTCCGATGATGTTTTCAACTTGTGACGGCTCCACTTGCCATGTTTGCTTCTCAGTTAGTCCTGTAATATTTCTGACCATTCTGGCACGTTTTTTGCGCTCGATTAATTCATATGCATGGCCCCGTGATGACGTGCTGCTGCTGGCCAGCTGCCGCCTAGCCGCTTTGCCGCACTGCAGCTGCAACCTGTGAAGAACTCTTACTGAATAACCTCAATATCCGCCCACATCATGAGCAGCGCATTTTCAACTCCACACCACGACAACCAAGCTCTTTTACACCAAACCGCTGTGGCACTTTCGCAGGTCCAAAACCTGCTACGGCAAGCAACTGACATCATGGCACACCTCCACACCCACTTTTTACACCACATCCGCCAGGCGGACCCCACTTTCCGCCCGAATTTCCAACAGCTACCACCACCACCGACTTACCCTGTTAACTTACCTTCCCCCACCTCCTCCTGCGATTCTGCACCCTCCAGACCACGTGTCCGCCTACCACCACCACCATCCAACAACTCCGACGACACACCTTCACCCACCCCAACTCCACAACCTGCTACAACCCGCAAGCGCAAGCAGCCACCACCACCACCACCACTCAACCAGCAGGCAGACTGGGACGCATGGGATGGCGACGCCGATTGTCGCCTAGTGGAACTCAAAAGCAATCCCAGACTCCGTCCCAATTGGATTTTTGTCGCTCGACGAGTTGGCTTCTCCGTCGAGCAATGTCAGGCCCGATGGAAAGAACTAAAGGACCTGCAGCGTTTACAGGACAAACACCTCCAAGCCACCACAGGCGGACCCACAACGACAGGAACCTTCCCTTCCACCCACTCCCACCTCACCAGCAGGTTCACCGCCACCACCTTCACAACCGGATTTCTCTCCTTCTCCCATGACAACACCTCCGACATCACCAGCAAAATCACCCACAGCTGATGTGCCGCCGCTGCCGGCTGCTGAGCGAGCGCCTAGTGAGAACAGGCATCCGGAGAAATCTCCAAACACGCCTATTGGCAGCTATTTCATGTGATTCGTTTCACCCAATCTCTCTCTCCACGGCGTGCCACAGGATAAATCCAGCGACCTTCAGTGATATCCTGATGTAGTCTCCTTCCACACTCTCAAGTTTGTTTTGCAACACTGATTTTTAAGCTTTTTGACACTCTTGATCCGTTTTCCATGAGTTTCATCCCAGCACTTTCCACCACATGTTGTTCACCGACTACAAGGCTCACTCCAGCTCCGCAGCTTTTTTTGCGTGCAACTTTGTCCTGAACTTTCTTACCTGCCTCCATGGCCACTCCTCGCGCTCGCCCACCACTCAGCACTACAAACACGGAATACTTTCTACCAGCACGACCCCCTAGCTGGCTCCGACCGTCCATCCGGACTCAACCGGACTTCCAATCTCTCCACAGTTCACTGGACCTTCTTTTCATGATCAACCAAGACATCCGCCGCCACCCTCTCAACACAGACCCATGCCAGACCAAACATATTTCCAGGATCACAGAGCATACAACCTCCTGTACCGGATGCGCGGAGACCTGATACTGATGGACCGCCTCATTGACAGCCTTCGCCACGCTCGCCGGCTGCTCCAATTTGTCCCCACCGGACCAGGCCTCCCCGGGCAATATCGCATCGACCCCACGGCACCACTCTCCTCCAACCACCTGGCCATCCTGCACAACATACCGCCCGGCTTCCCTTTGCCACAAACACCCTCAGACCGCTCACCCTCCTCAGCTCCACGCACACCACCACAAGATGCAGAACGCTTCCACCACTCCTGGACCGGTCCTCCACCACGTGCCACTCCACACCACACCCACAGCAATGACAATCGAACCCGAGAACGGTCCCGCTCCCGTGACGCCCATGCTGACTAACTACAGCATCCAGTGCCACAGCAACTTTGCAGCCCGAGACCTGCAGCGGCCAACATGCTCACTCCTTCACCTGAGACCGCTCCACCGGCCGCAGTTGCTGATCCGTATTTCAGTCTCACCGACATTCCTCGGCGAGCACAGGCGACAAAAAACCTAGCCAGCAGACACTTTCAACAGTTCATGTTCTCTACTTGAGGTTTTCTTTACACAGCCACACGTGACAAGTTTTCCGCAGCCATTTTACTGAACCGGTTTTCCTCCTTCATGCTCTCCATGACTGATCGCCACCTGTTTGCTACGATGCTCAGCGCTGATCTACAAACCACGCCATCTCACCATCCAACGACGGCCACCATCTACACGGACCCGCCCACCACACACCACGGGCATTTCTTACCCAACAACCCGATGCCCTACATGGCCCCATCAGCGACACACCAGCCGGAGCTACTCCTTCTCAACTGGATGCTTTGCACCATCGCAACACTGATTGACGACCTTCAACATCACCCATTGTGCAAGACCCAATTCCCCCGATGTCCTCTTTCATCAACACACCAGCCTACCGACTCTTTTTGCAACTCCGCAACACCCTCCGTCATTTGATCAATACCACCCACGAAGCCCAACGCGGGCTCAACAGACTACAATTCATACCTGGCTCCCCAGGCTCCCCTGGACACTATCGCATGGACCCCACGGTCTCCATCACACCACCAAGGATAACGATCAGCGCGCAAGCGCCCGTCAATTCCTTCGGGTGCCTTTTCGCAGCCTCAAAACACCCTTAAGTCAAACGAAAAAGCGCTCCCCCCAAACCTATATCTTCTGCTTTCTATTACCCCATCACTCACAGGCCGCTCTTTACCCGATGTGAGACGCTCACTTGATCTTGGCTCTAACTGACTTCGGGGTCCCCTTTTTTCTCTTCCAAACGCTCCTTCATCCAAAAGAAAAAGGGAGCCCCGGCCCCGCCCCCCCGACCTGCGACTGAAGGCCTGTCATGTCGGCGCCGCCTTATGCCTCCCAACGCTTCCCCTGCGCTCTCGCACTCACCCCCGGTGACCACATTCATATCTCCTTACGGAGGCTGGCTTTCGTCTCCTACCTTCTCAGGTGTTGTAATTCTGCAAAGAAAGAAATACATTCATGTAACATTAGTTTGTTATTAGCAACAATGCTAGCTGCTATTGGATTGAAATGTTTTCAGATGTTTGCTTTGTATCTCGCTTGACAAGGCGGCGGAGAAGAAGGCGGAAGGCTATGTGGGAGACAAATCTTCTTTGGTCGATGCTTTTGGCGTTGAAAAGAGCGAAGATCCCGCAGGCCTGAGCACAAAGCACACGAACGGGGACGTCTACCGCTCAAGGCATTAGTATCTTCTTGCTACTAGTAGTAATGCCTTTGTTACTAGTGATTGATGCCCTTTTTGAGGTGAACCATGGTGAACCCTTCTTGTCCGTTTTTAGATCGCGCGGCGAACATGCCGGTCGGCGAACATGCCGGTCGGCTGTGACGATTCAGGCAACAGAGGGAACGGACTGAACATCCTTTCGGCAGATTCTGCTAATCGTTTAACCTTTTTGTCCTGTCATAGTACTCCCCAGTCTGGCCTTTCTTTCTCCCGATTGAAGGCCACGCAGGTGAAGAGATTTTCAACAAAGGCACATCCCGACGAATTTGGGGCGAATTGTACAAGGCAGGATGGCGAAAGGCAAGTGCAGAGCCAAGCAGGGCTCAAGTCAACCAAGAATTTTTTTCAAACCCGCTTTCCCCCTACTACTTTGCTTGAGCAGGCGCCTACTTAATCAAGTAAGGGCCAACCAGGCGCCCCTAGCTGGACGCAGGATAGCTCACGCACCAATCATTTGGTTCGTAGATTTGGAAACTTAACTAGACTATATGCGCTATATGATACCCTTTTTCCTTTTCCTGTTCCTTTGTTTCTGATAATAGCGATGGCCTCCAACCTGATAGAGATGGCCTCCAACGTCGAATTCTTAATTGCGTTTTAAAGGGAAACTTATTGAGTGCAGAGCCAGAACTTGAGCCAACCGGGACACACAGGGATACAAATCAACAATGTTTGCCATCTGAATCCGGCTTAGCCTTCAAAGCCAGCCTTGGCCTCGTTGAGGTGGTTGATGCGTCTGATGTCTTGGTCTTTGTTTTGGATGCCAGAGATCCCATGGGCACTCGCTGTGTGCAGCTTGAGCGTCTCTTGACTTGAAGCAGAGAGGAGAGTGGACTCGTGTGTGTGTGTGTCACCCTTGGAGTCAGAGGGATCCTCTTGGATTTGTTAGCTTTGCCTTTTCACTGTTATCAAAGCAGGGGAACTGGGCACTCTGTGACTGACCCAGTTCAACGAAGCTAGGTCACAGAGTGGGATATTCGGACTGATCATCCGAACGTACCTGCAATTTTCCTTTTTCTGAATGGCGGGAGGCTAAGCCAAGAACCTCACTCGGCAGACAAGCACGACCGTAGTCACCTCGCCCTGTTCGTCGTCCCGTGGTTTTTGAATCTTGGCCTTTAACTACAGGAACTCAGGCCCTTTACCTGGTCTTTTCAGGATTTGGGTTTCTTAGGCTGGCGAGTGGCACCGCTATCAAGTCAGTACGCATATCCATGAGTGTGTGTGTGGGGGGGGACTTGCGTCAAAAAGCGAAGCTTTGCCCACACTGTTTGTGGACTCTTTGCTTTTGCGCCACGCTTGAGGATTGGAAAGGGTGAAAAATGTGTGTCGTCAACAGAGAAAGCAGATGAAAGCAGAAGCCAAGGGTTACTTTTACCGTTGGCAGAGAGATATTTCTTTCGCTCTGTAGAGGAAGGTCCCCTCAGCTGCCTCAATGCTCATATTTTTGCGGCTTTGAGTTTGTAAAACATGTCAATACTTTTAAAGTCATTGTGTGTTATTCACGAAAGGTAGCTTTAGCTACCTGAGTTGTCTTTGCTTTAGCCATCATGTATTGGGGGTGGTGAACTGCTCCCGTGCTTGATTTCGATGGTTTTAGTAATGATGTTCAATGTAGTGGGGGCCCGTGCCTTGAACGCTTGGCGTCGATATAGCGGGCTGTATTTTATTATAATGCTGTGCACACTTGAATCTCATGTTTGCGAAACGTAAGCTCGGCTTACCGAAAGTCACAGACAGCATGTCTTGACACCGGTTACCTGCAGCGGCGCTGCGGCTTGGATGTCGTTTTTTTACCGCAAGTCTGTTTGCGATCATTGTCTGCCGCCGTGCGAGTGAGGACCACACGAATTATTGGGGCATCGATCGCCAGAAAGTCCGTTATTTCTGAGTGTTCATAGCATGGCTGATTGTATAAGTGCGCCTGCTTCATGGCCCCTAAGTGTTGAACATGCGGGCCCGCCCCCCCCCCATCGACCCCCCCCCGCCCCCCCGGGGAATTTGGTAGTGATCTGAGCAGCAGCAAAGCAAAAAGGTAGCACCAGCACCAGCAGCAGCAAACGAGCAGCAGCAGCGGCGGCGGCGGCAGCGGCAGCAGTGGCAGCAGCAGCAGCAGCAGCAACAACAACAGCAGCAGTAAGCAGCAAGCAGCACCAGCAGCAGCAACCAGCAGCCAGCAACCAGCAGCAGCAGGAGCTGCCGAGCATGTACCCCTGGGACCGACGGGGCATCCCAGATTTTGGTTGTTTTTCAATCCTGATCCTTCGTAGGCATTCCTCCGCAGACATGCTACCTTTCGTCCACCCCCGTCTCCTCAAATTTGTTTTAATCCCAGGGGGGTAGGCTAGTAGAGGTAGGTAGCAGTAGCTAGGTAGGTAGCTTGTATAGCTACAAATAAGTTACTAGTATGGACGCAGGATAGCTACGTTTTTTTCAAGGAAGTTTCCCCTACACTGATGACTTGGCTCCTAGATGTTTAGGGAAACTTAACTATACCTTTGAGGTCATTTTGTTTTTTTAAAACCGTTTCGCAAGGAGAGCTGCGCCGTCGGCAAAAGCATGTCGTGCTCCTTGTGAACAAAGTCGACTTGGTGCCCACTTGGGTCACGCGGCGATGGATTTCTGAACTCATGAAGGAGACTTGGGCGGGGGAGGAGGCGAAGGCGTAAGAAGTAAGCTGTGGCACCTGTTCCTACTAGCTTCTTGTTACTAGTAAGGCACTTGTTCCTACTAGCGTGGCACCTGTTACTACTAGGGAGTCACCTGTTAACAAACTACGGATCGGACGCAGAAGGGCTCAGGCTTCAAGGAAGCTCCCGCCAGAGGGCGGGATGGAGATTCCTTGAGGCCTGAGCAATGATTTGGACACTGAACTGATTGCAAAAAGGAACTGTTGTTACTAGTAGCTTCTTGTTCCTAGTAGTACGGCCAGGAGCTCCTTAGTAGCGTCCTTGCAATGTGAAGGAGTTTCCGACTTTGGCCTTTCACGCTTCGATCACCAACCCTTTTGGCAAGAATTCACTTCTGAACCTTTTGCGACAGTTTGCCAATCTCCTCAAGGAGGGGCGAACGATGAAACGATGAAACGCGATGAGTGTTTTTGAAAGAGAGATACGATGGTGAGACGAGTGCATCAAGATGCTGTAGAAACAGGTAGATACGTTTTTCCTTTCTACTAATGTTTCTTTGTTTCTAATAGCAATGGCCTCCAACAGGTAGAGACGTATGTGCACCTGAGCAGCTTTAGTTTAAGATGGTAGCTCGGGGCCATGCTGTTGCTTGAAGGACAAGAAGCATGTCACAGTGGGTATGGTGGGTTACCCCAACGTCGGAAAGTCCTCTGTGATCAACACACTGAAGCGGAAGAAGGTGTGAACAGGGATTCGGAGAGCTCAAGAGATTCAAGAGTAGATGGTGCCTGAACGAACCCAAAGCATTGCTGATTCTGACATCGAGTCCATGTTCTTGTTTTTTTGTGGTGAGCGCGGGATGAATCGGGAGTCGGCTGAAGTGCGGGGCTTTGCAGGACCTCGCAAGTTGTGTGCAGATCAGCTTCAAAGTAGGTAGGTAATCTCCAGTCTCAAGTCTAAGTTAAGTTGTTAAGTTTCCTAAGGGTCTATAAGGACGCTACTAGGGGCTCCTGGCCGTACTACTAGGAACAAGAAGCTACTAGGAACAATTGTTGGCAAACAGAACCGATGCGAGGGCCTTTTTGGCCCCATCAGGGCCGACGCCAGTTGAGATGGAAAGCGGTCAATGTCTCTTTGTTACTAATGTCGATGGCCTCCAACTTAATAGCGATGGCCTCCAACTTAATAGCCATGGCCTCCAACTGAATAGCGATGGTCTCCAACTTAATAGCGATGGCCGCCAACTTAATAGCGATGGCCGCCAACTTAATAGCGATGGCCTCCAACTTAATAGCGATGGTCTCCAAATTAATAGCGATGGCCTCCAACTTAATAGCGATGGCCTCCAACTTAATAGCGATGGTCTCCAACTTAATAGCGATGGCCTCCAACTTAATAGCGATGGCCTCCA